TTATCTCAGATTCTCCAGCATCTGCAGTTCCTACTATCTCTGAAACATTTCTCTGTCCATTTCACTTTCACCATGCTTCAGTTCCTTGTGAAAATGATTCACCCCTGAACTTGAGATAGTAGGAACTGCAGATGCTGGAGAATCCGAGACAACAAGGTGCAGGGCTGGATGAACACAGCAGGCCAAGCAGCATCATAGGAGCAGAGAGGCTGACGTTTCGGGCCTAAACCCTTCATCAGAAATGCCTGCTGTGTTCATCCAGCCCTGCACCTTGTTGTCTCACCCCTGAACTTGATCATCCCACCAGGAAGGAAACTGTGTTACAGAGGCAGTGATATTTCTGGTGTAATTTCTTGGCTCAAAATCATTTGATGTTTCCTAAGGTCAAATAAAATGCCACATGGTTGCAGCTCTCTTAAGCCTTTTAACAGAAGCTGTAAAGTCTACTTATTGTAGTCAGTAACTCCAGCTTTTAAAGTCTGTATTGGTGCAGTTTTGGTCTCCATGTATAAGGAACAATATACTCATGTACATGGCAATACAGCGAAGGCTCACTAAATTGATACTTGGGTGAGAATGTTGCCCCATAATGAGAGGCTGAGTAAATTGGGTCAATATTCTCTGCAGTTTTGATGAATGTGAGCTGACCTCATTGAAGCAAACAAAATTTTGTCATTTATATAGATGATTTGGATGTAAACATTGGAGGTATGGTTAGTAAATTTGCAGATGGCACCAAAACTGGAGGCATAGTGAACAGCGAAGAAGGTTATCTCAGAGTATAGCAGGATCCTGATCAGATGGGCCACAGGGCCGAAGAGTGGCAGATGAAGTTTAATTTAGATAAATGCGAAGTGCTACATTTTGGAAAGGCAAATCAGACAGGACTTACACTCTTAATGGTAAGGTCCTGGGGAGTGTTGCTGAACAAACACTGAGTGCAGGCTCATAGTTCCTTGAAAGTGGAGTCGCAGGTAGACAAGATAGTGAAGAAGGTGTTTGGTACGCTTGTCTTTATTGTTCAGTGCATTGAGTATAGGAATTGGGAGGTCATGTTGTGGCTGTACAGGACATTGGTTAGGCCACTTTTAGAATACTGCATTCAGTTCTGGTCTCCCTACAGGAAGGATGTTGTGAAACTTGAAAGGGTTCAGAAAAGATTTACGGGGATGTTGCCAGGGTTGGAGGGTTTGAAGGGAGGGAGAGGCTGAATGGGCAGGACCACTTTCCCTGGTGCATCGGATGCTGAGGAATGACCTTATAGAGGTTTATAAAATCATGAGGGGCATGGATAGGAAGAGTATCCAAGGTCTTTTCCCCAGGTTAGGGGAGTCCAAAACTAGAAGGCATAGGTTTAAGGTGAGAGGAGCAAGATTTAAAAGGGACCTAAGGGGCAACTTTTACATGCAGACGGTGGTGCATATATGGAATGAGCTGCCAGAAGAAATAGTAGAAGCTGGTACAATTACAACATTTAAAAGGCATCTGGTTGCATACATGAATAAAAAGTGTTTAGAGGGATATGGGACAAATGCTGGTAAATGGGAATAGGTTTATTTAAGATATCTGGTTGGCATGGATGAGTTGGACTGAAGGGTATGTTTCCATGCTGTACAGCTCCATGGTTCTATGCCTCTAAGATTCTGACTCTGTAAAGCTTGTCCACCATCTACAAGGCACAAGTCACGATTGTAATGGAATAGTCCTCACTTGCCTGGATGAGTGCAGCTCCAACAACACTGAAGAAATTTGACACTATCTAGGACAAAGAAGCCTGCTCGATTGGCACCACATCCACAAGCATCCACTCCCTCCACCACCCATGTTCAGTTGTAGCAGTACACGATGTCAAACATACACTGAAGAAATTCACCAAAGATCCTCAGTCAGCACCTTCCAAACCCACGACCACTCCCATCTCAAAGGACAAGGGCAGCAGATACATGGGAACATGACCACTACCTGCAAGTTCCCTCCAAGCCACTCACCATCCTGTGTTGGAAATTTATTGCCGTTCCTTCAGTGTCACTGGGTCAAAATCCTGGAGAACCCTCCCGTAATGACATTCTAGTTTAGATGCAAGGGTACTCCCCACTGATCTGTGAGAGATTTTGACCCCATTCCTTTGAGTAACTAGTCTATGACAATAAAGGCTAATTCAATTCAATTCAACATGACCAGATTACTCTCGGCACCAGCAGTGTACAGCACAACAGTCTCCTCCTTGCACCTTTTTGAATTTTTCATTTCACAAGACCCAGGCTGGCTGGACTAGCACTTATTAGTCACCTCCTATGACCCTGGAGAAGGTGGTGGTGAGCTACCTTCCCCAGATGCCGCAGTCTGGATAGTGAAGCAACACCTACAATGCTGTTGTATGACAGACACTGTTTGGTCATGTAGTGCCATACAAGTGGGACTGGAACCTCGATGCAGGAATATCCTCAGTCAGCTTTGCGGCTGAGCACTTGAAATGCCATAGCATACAAGGCTACTGGACGCCTGCTGGAAAATGGGACTAAAATAGGAGGGTGTTTGATGACTGAAGCAGACACGATGGGCCAAAGGCTCTCTTTGTGTGCCATAAAAAAACTCTATGACGCTACCACTACACCATTAGAACCCTTAGCTTAGATTCTACCCTTCAATCCAGCAGTGCGGTTAAAGCACAGCCTTCATACATTATGTGTGTGTAGGGGGTGTTCACTTCATTCAGTTGTCTGGAAGGCTGGTCTGCAATGCAGAGTGATGCCAACACCGTGGATTCAATTCCCAGACTGACTGAGATCACCACAAGGAACTCTCCTTCTCACTGTCTCCCCTCACCAGAGGCGTGGTGACTCTCAAACACAATGAGCCCCTAGCCCAGTAAGACTATGGTGGCCTTACATGTGTACACTGAGCAACCAGTACTGGAGACCAAGTCAGACTGACAGATGCAGAAGTACAAGACGGACTAAGTGTTTTGGAAAAATGCAGTGTCAAATACTATTCAGCCAGCAAATAATTTTGAGAACTTAATCAATTATTTTAACCAATTGTATCATTAATTACTTTCAAAATTAAGATGACAATTACATGAATTTGACAAGAAAGTTTTGACCAACAAATAATGAGCATTTCTGTAACGTACCTTTTGATAAGCAGGATAGTATGAGCTGGACATTTTCCTTGTACAGGTGGTCTCCCTGTCCAATGGATACAATGATCTCTGATGGACTGTCAGCTTCTGTGTGTGTTTTATAGTCACCTTGTCCTGTAGTTAATAATTAAAGTTGAGGCACAGCCCAGGATTTATTCCATCATAAGACATGGGAACCTATAAGGTTCTCTCGTTGACATTATCCAACGTGGAAACATAGAAAGTTAGTAACTGGAAAAATAGACGATTAATGGCACAGAACGAGCCCATTTGGCCAACTGGATGCGAATAAAGTTATCCCACTTTATTCCGGCTGTCCATCCTTAGCCCTGTGTGGGATACAGCAGCTTCAGGTATATTTTTTTAAGACAGTGGGGCTTACTGCCTCTCCCATCCTTTCAGGCAGTGAGTTCCACATTCCCACCAACCTCCAGGAGATAAAACACCCTCAAACTTCTCTCCAAACCTTCTATCAATGCCTGTTCTGCCTGGTGACTGACCACTTTGATAAAGGAAACAAGAGGTCCTCTTGTGCACTCTATCTTGATTCCTAGAATCATCAGATGGTTGCAGCACAGTAGAAGGCCATTCAGCTCATTATCGTCGTGTTTGCTCCCTTTAAGAACAACACAGCTGGTCCCACTCCCCTGCTTTTTCCCTTTAGCTCTGCAATTTTCTCCAGATAATTATAAGTTATATTTTAAAAGTAATATTTGACTCTTCTATAATTGACCAGCAGTGCATTCCAGGTTACTGCATTAAAAAGTTTCATCAAGATGTGTCTTTGATTCTTTGGTAATAACCATAAATCAATGTCTTCTGCTTCTCAGTGATTTTAAGTAAGGGGAGAAACTAACTTTACATCACCCACCAATACCAATGCACCTGGCCCAGATGTGTCTGTCCATGTCACTACTGGTAAGACCAACCACCGCACAGTTCTTGTGCAAATGGTGTCTCATCTTCACAGTGAGGACTCCTCCTGTGCTGTTGCAGCTCTATCACCGAGCTCAATGGGATAGTTCAGAACAGATCGAGCAGCTCAAGACTGGGCGTCTACAAGACACTGGGCCATCAACAGCAACAGCATTGTACTTTGCAACTTCATGGCCTGGCATATGGGGAGGTGATGCCGAGTGGTATTATCGTTGGGCTGTTAATCCAGCGGCCCATATAATGTTCTGGGGACCTGGGTTCAAATCCCACCACGGCAGTCGGTAGAATTTGAATTCAATTTAAAAAACCTGGAATTAAGAATCTAATGATGACCATGAATCCATTGCCAATTGTTGGGGCTGGTGAACCCATCTGGTTCACTAATGCCCTTTGGGGAAGGAAACTGCCATCTTTACCTGGTCTGGTCTACATGTGACTCCAGACCCACAGCAATGTGATTAACTCTTAAATAAAAACCAAAAGAACTGCGGATGCTGTAAATCGGGAACAAAAACAAAGTTGCTGGAAAAGCTCAGCAGGTCTGGCAGCATCTGTGAAGGAGAAAACAGAGTTAACGTTTTGGGTCTGGTTCTGAGGAAGGGTCACTGGACCGGAAACGTTAACTCTGTTTTCTCCTCCACAGATGCTACCGGACCTGCTGATTAACTCTTAACAGCCCTCTGAGCAATTAGGGATGGGCAATAAATGCTGGCCTGGCCGAGCACGCCCTCATCATGTAATTGAATGAATAAAAATAAATCCCACACTCAACCATTACCATCAAGTAAGGGAATTGATCCTGGTTCAATGGAGAGTACAGAGCAGCATACCTGAAACTGAATACCAAGACAATCTAGTGATGCTGACAACACAGGACTACTTGGATGCTAAACAGTGGAAGCATCTTGCAATAGTCAGGGTTAAATGATTCCACAACTAAAGGACCAAAGCTGAGCTCTGCAATCCTTCTATATCCAGTTGTGAGTCGTGGTGGAGGAGGAGCTCCACAAATATCCCCATTCTCAATGACACATCAATGCAAAAGATAAAGCTGAAGCATTTACAAGAATCAACCTGAACTATTGAGTTGATGATGCATCTTGGACATAGAGTCATTGAGGTCTAAAGCATGGAAACAGACCCTTCGGCCCTACTGCTGCCCAGTTTTCACAATTAAATTAATCCCATTTACCTCCATATCCCTCCGTACCTATCCCATCCATATATCTGTCTAAATGTTCCTTAAAGGACAAAATTGTACTTGCTTCCACCATTACCTCTGGCAGCCCAATGCAGGAAGAGCGAGCAATGAGGGAGGTCCCCTGGGTATCTGCGACAGCAGCATCAAGATCAGGAGAACAGCAACTCAAGACTGAACATCCATGAGATGTGAGGGCATGACAGGAGCAGTTCCAGGCGTACCTGAAGATGAGGTGAAGCCACCAAATAGGACAACTTGCCAGTATAAGCAGAAAGTGTTAGACAGAGCTAAGCGATCCCACACAAATGGATCAGATCTAAGCTCTGCAGTCCTGCCACATCCAGTTGTGAATGATGGTGGACAATTAAACAACTCACTGGAGGAAGAGACTCCACAAATATCCCCATCCTCAATGATGGAAGAGCCCAGCACATCAGTGCAAAATGTAAGGCTGAAGCATTCGCAGCAACCTTCAGCCAGAAGTGCCGAGTGGATGATCCATCTCGGCCTCTTTTGATGGTCCCCAGCATCACAGATACTAGTCTTCAGCCAATTCGATTCACTCCACGTGATATCAACAAATGGGTGGAGACACTGGATACTGCAAAGGCTACAGGCCCTGACAACATTCCAGCAATAGTACTGAAGGCTTGTGCTCCAGAACTTGCCGCTCCCCTAACCAGGCTGTTCCAGAACAGCTACAACTTTGGTATACCCAATAATGTGGAAAATTGCCCAAGTATGTCCTGTCCACAAAAAGCAGGACAAATCCAAAATGGGATGATTACCGCCCCATCAGTCTCCTCTCGATCATCAGGAAAGTGATGGAAGGTGTCAGTAACAGTGCTATCAAGCAGCACCTGCTCAGAAATAACCTGCCCTGTAATGCCCAGTTTGGGTTCTGCCAGGGCCACTCAGCTCCTGACCTCATTACAGCCTTGGTTCAAACATGGACAAAAGAGCTAAATTGCAGAGGTGAGGTGAGAGTGAAAGCCCTTGATATCAAGGCTGCATTCAACTGGCTGTGGTGTCAAGGAGCCCTTGCAAAACTGCAATCAATGGGTATCAGGGGGCAAATGCTCTGCTGGTTGGAGTTATATATGACACATAGGAAGATGGTCGTGGTTGTTGGAGGCCAGAAATCTCAGCTCCAGAACATCTCTGCAGGAGTTCCTCAGGGTAGTGTCCTAGGCCCAAATATCTTCAGCTGCTTCAGCAATGACCTTCCCTCCATCATAAGGTCAGAAGTGAATTGTTTGACAATGATTGCACAATGTTCAGCCCTATTTGCAACTCCTCAGATACTGAAACAGTCCGTGTTCAAGTGCAACAAGATCTGGACAATATCCAGGCTTGGGCTGACAAGTGGCAAGTGACATTTGTGCCTCACAAATGCCAGGCTGTGACCATCACCAATAAGAGACAATCTAACCACCATCCCTTTGACATTCAATGGTGTTACCATCACAGAATCCCCCACTATCAACATCCTGGGGGTTACCATTGACCAGAAACTCAACTGGACTCACCACATTAACAGAGTGGCTCCAAGAGCAGGCCAGAAGCTGGGAATACTGTGGCATGTAACTCACCTCCTGACTCCCCAAAGCCTGTCCACCATCGACAAGGCACAAGTCAGGAGTGTGACGGAATACTCCCCACTTGCCTGGATGAGTGCAGCCCCAACAACACTCAAGAAGCTTGTCACCATCCAGGACAAAGCAGCCCACTTGACAGGCACTAAATACACAAGCATCCACTCCCTCCACCACCAATGTTCAGTAGCAGCAGTGGGTACTATCTACAAGATGCACTGCAGAAATTCCCCGAAGATCCTCAGGCAGCACCTTCCAAACCCATGACCACTTCCATCCAGAAGGACAAGAGCAGCTGACAAATGGGAACACCACCACCTCCAAGTTCTCCTCCAAGCCACTCCCCATCCTGACTTGGAAATACATCGCTGTTCCTTCACTGTCACTGGGTCAACATCCTGGAATTCCCTCCCTAAGGGCATTGTGGATCAACCCACAGTGGGATGACTGCAGTGGTTCAAGAAGGCAGCTCACCACCATCTTCTCAAGGGGCAACTAGGGACGGGCAAGAAATGCTGGGCCCAGCCAGAGACGCCCATATCCTACAAATGAATTTTAAAAAAGGCAGCTGTTGTCTCTCAGAGAGCGAGCTAAGCAGAGGACTCATCAAAGACTGTCAATCTTTCAACTTTATTCCTTTATTTTTCTAGTTTATATTAATAAGGACTTTAATGTTAATTAATACATTGTTTCTTTATTTTTCTACTTATTCTATGAAGGTAATGCTTAACTGTACATACTGAGGGAGAATACATCAGAGGACTCGTGCAGTGAGGCAATATGGGTAGAACTCAGGAATAGGAAAAAAAGATGAAATCACAATGCTGGGGGTATACTACAGGCCTCCCAACAGCCAGTAGGTGATAGAGGAGAGAATATGTGGGCAGATTTTGGAAAGATGTAGAAACAGCAGGGTCGTTGTGATGTGTGATTTTAACTTCCCTTATATTGACTGGGACTCAGTACGTACTAGGGGCTTGGATGAGACAGAATTTGTAAGGACCATTCAGGAGGGATTATTGACACAGTATGTAATCAGTCCAACCAGGGAAGAGGTTATACTGGACCTGGGTTTGTAAATAAGCCCGGCCAGGTGAATGATGTTTCAGTGGGAGAGCATTTCGGGAGTAGTGACCACAATACCATGAGTTTTAAGATACACATGGATAGGGATATCAGCGGTCCTTGGGTGAAGGTGTTAAACTGGGGGAAAGCAAACTACAGAACTATTAAGCAGGAACTGGAGAATGTTGATTAGAGGCGGCTGTTTGAGGGTAAATCCACATCGGACATGTGTGAGTATTTCAAACAGCAGTTGATAAGAAG